GAGGAGGGCTGGTTTGGGAGGATCTCACTCAGACATTACTAGCAGTGGAACTCAACATTTAGAAAGTATTGTTTCAAGAAACTCTTATCCAAAGAGTTTGATTACCATATACTAATATCTGACTGAAAATTGAAAAACTTATTTAAGTCCTCACAAGTAACCTAGAGCTCAGTGCTATTTCTTTTATGTGTGAGTAAGTGATCTATGAAAAAGCTGCACTTGTTAGTGTATGCACCAGCACCCCCTTCTCCCCAAAATCAGGAGACCAGGCACAAGACACAGTTACACTCACCTCCTTGATAACAAAGTAAGACACGAAGCTTGTGCCAAGTTTACAGACAGGGAAACACCCAGATCTTTTCACCTGAAGGGACTGTGATGGCTTGAATATGGAGTGTCTCCCCAAGTCTCATGTGTTCTGGGGGGTTCTTGGGGGGGTCAGAGCTGAGGGTGTGGTAGCGGTGGGGGCTAGTGCGAGGCAGGTCGCTGGGGGGACATGGAAGCGTCCGTCTCCCCACTCCTGCTCGCTCTCCCAGCTTCCTGGACACCTTGATCTGAGCATCTCCCTCAGCCCAGGCCCTTCCACCATCCTGCTTCTGACCTGGAGCCAGCTGGCAAGGGACGAATGGGACTGTTATGGGTGATACACTGTCAGCTTGGGGAGTCTAGAGGTTCGGCTAAGTGACTCAGCAGGGAGCCAGGGTGCTTACTGTGCATTCATCCTGAGCCTGTGCAAGAGGAGGGCATGGAGATTATGTGAGTGCTACACGCCCCTTAGGTGGGGGTAGCCTGCTTACAATATAAGGGAGGGAAAGAGGCTTGCTAGCTCTGTCATGCCCCCCACATTTTGCTCTTGTTGCTTTGCTATCTTTCACCACCATGAACATTTGCCCTCTGCCATGTGCCACTCTGCCTAGGAGCCATCCAAGTGTGGACTGAAACATCCACAGACTGTGAGCTAAACAAACATTTCCTTCCTTAATTCTTGGCATTGGGTATTTTGTCTCAGCAATGAGAGAAAAGTAACCAAGACAGTGACATAAAATAAAGCACTCCTCCTTTACACTGTGAGGATCAGGATTGTGTCTCAGTGACGAGTGACTAAGATACTTTGCAAAAGCAGTAGTGACACAAATACTCTTTTTTTATTTTAAAGATTTAAAAAACTAACAAAACAATAGCTCTGAAGACAAAATCAAACAACACAAAAATGATACATGACCTCAAAACAAAATGACAGGAATTAACAGTGGTTGCTACATTACATACTCTTATCTTCAATGAAGTTGCTCAGTCCACCAGACGTAAGAATGTAAGATTGATCAAACAATCAAGGACAGTAACAAAGGGCCGGGGATGTAGCTCAGTGGCACAAGCACCTGCCTGGCAAGCACAAGGTCCTGAGTTCAATTCCCGGTACAAAAAAAGAGACAGTAACAAACAATCAAATGCTCTTTGCACTGAGCTAAAATTCTCAGAACGTGAAACCCATCTCACAGCGGGCAGTGCAGTGGCTCCGCTCCAGTCCGCACGCTGTGTAACGCGTCCCGCTCCAGTCCCACCACGTTTCCCTCAGCCTGGCTCCTCCCAGCACTTCCTCCCCTGCCTCTCCTCTGCCCCGGGCAGCCGTCAATCTGCTCTCCATCTCTGTGTGCTCACTTACCCTGAATACTTCACACAAATGACGTCAGACGACGTGTAAATGATGTGCCTGACTTCTGTCACTTAGCATCGTATTTTGGAGGCTCATCTACATTTTCACACGTACCAGTGCTTTGTTCCTTTTTACGGCTGAGTAATGTTCCATTGTATGTATATAGCACAGTCCACTCCTCCATTAATGAGCACAGGGGCCTGTTTCCATGGTTTGGCTATCGGGAGTAGTACTATTATAGACATTTCCCATGTTTTACTCTTTGTTTCTGTTTTACATTTTAACAGTGTGTAAGTGTACAGTTTGTGCATTAAGGACATTCACAGTGCTGTACAACCGTTACCACTACACATCTCCAGAACTGTTCAACAACCTAAACAAAAACCCCCGTCCCCTTCCCCCCGCACCCATGAACGCCATTCTACTTTCCATGGTCACGTAACTGACTGCGGTCGGGACCAGGCAGAATGCAGGCAGACGGCAGGTGCCCTTTTTGTGTGGCTTGTCTCATTTAGCACACTGTTTTCTAGATGAACATCAACTATTTTTATAGAATAAAAGCTGTACATTTTATACACAAAACAATTAAGGTTTAGTACTATAACCAAATGGCGGAGACAGCCTCACCAAGGTGCACAGAACAAGCCCCGCGGGCAGGTGTCCCTCCGTTCGTCCTCACCGAGCTATGCTGACAGGGAGGGGCTCACAGAGGGCAGGCGCTCGCCCCTGAACACGCAGCTTGTCAATCAACAGACATAGAGGCTTCGCTCTTCCAATTCCCTGTCCTTTCCAGTTCACAGGGCGACCTGCCTCCCAGCCCACCACTGCCACACTTACAGGAAAAGTGAGGAAAAGGAGACCCGGGTCGGAAACAGAGCCAGGGAAGGCTCCGCGGAGAAGGACGAATTTCAGCTAAGACTTGACACAGCAGCTTCTGCGAGGGAGAGGACAGAAAGGCACTCCAGGCAGGCGACCATCCGTGACACGGCCACGCAGACGCACTTGTGGGGACATGGACAAGGGAGAAAGAAGCAGAACACCGCCAGGAGCCAGGCGTGGTGGCGCACACCTGTAATCCCAGCACTCGGGAGGCTGAGGCAGGAGGACCCTTCTGAGTTCAAGACCAGCCTGGGCTACAAAGTGAGCTCAAGGCCAGCCTGAACTGCATAGCAAGACCCTGTCTCAAAAAGACAAAAAAAAGAACACCACTAGGAAGAGCGAGCAGAAGCTTTCCTCTTATCCCCACCTGTGATGGAGTAACTTAAGCAAGGACTTTTGCTCTCCCGGCCGCACTTCACCAGGAAACACAGGTACGGGACTTTGGCCCAGCGCTGCCCGTGCCCCCAGGCCTGCCTAGCTGGCACCTGCGGTATTTGGGGCCGGATGTGGAGGGACGGGCACTCATGTGACACACACCACAGCCAAGACGCCCGCACAAACCAGGCGTGCACTGCCGCGAATTTGATTCACTTAGGTGATAACTCACGCTCTACACCGCCCGTGCCAAGAGTGATCCCCACAGACCTGAAAATAATAAAAACAAAAAGCCTCAGTTCTAAATACTACCCCAGCCACCATTTCCTAGAATTAGTTGCTTCTTTTTTCTGAAAAACACGCTGATCTTTATTTTACCAAGCATTGTTTCTTTAGGAAAACATGATTTTGCTCGGTGTTTTGGGCAAAGTGGCTAAGCTGTAAAGACATTAAGCTCACCCACCACTGCTAAAGAAAGAAATAACTGTGAGACTATCCAGATTGTTTATCAGACAGAAAACTTAGAGGAGTGCGAGCAAGTATTTGAAATTGGTGGGTACCAACCACCCATATGCAAAAAAATCATAACGGGGCGCTACTGGAAAGATTTACATTCTTATAAAAAACTACAATAAATATTTCTTTTCAACAAACTAAGTTAAACTAGTCGTACAAATAGGGGTACGCATGTATCCCTGTAATATGATTATTTTCACTCTTCTGGGAAGATAACCAGAGGAGGAATAGTTGGGTCAAATGGAGTTTTAGGTTTTTGAAGAATCGCTACATTGGTTTCCACAGAGGTTGTACTAGTTTAGAATCTTTCTGATTTATGTCTTGTATCCTGAGTGACTACTTTAAGGATAATGATACACAGTGTAATAACTATTGTTATTCTCTTTTTATTTGATCTTGAAATTTTTCATAAAATAAAACTAATTTTTTTAAAAAGACAGGTTAAATGACAACTATTTCTTGTGACAACTGTGTATGTCAGCTGGGGCAGTTAACAGACAGAATATGAATCAGTGGAAAAGAAAAAGTTATGACTTTTGACCTCAGCACTAGAAACCTGGCAAACGCATACCAAACACAACCAAGTATTGGGCCGGGGATACAGCTTAGCCGTACAAGCACCTGCCTGGCAAGCACAAGATCCTGAGTTCAATTCTAGATACCAAAAAAAAAAATCTATAACCAAGGGTCATCTCGCCCTTAAACAAAATTTCCCTTGTCAGATATAGAACACAATTCATAAGGAGAAACTTGTGAGCCTTTAAGCCCATTACAACAGAAAACATCTGGAAAATGTTTTAGTACACATTTAATTTGCGATACTAATTTTTTTTAAATATAGACATTTGCAAGAAGGGCCTGACTATAAGCAGCGTGGTACCCACAGAAAAAGAACACAGAGAATTCTTATCTAAACCCTGAGGCCCTTGTGCTAACCATCTGTATACGGGACAAAAAACTTCCGCATCGTGTCATCTGTAAAAGATGTAGGACAGACAGCGACTACTTAAGGACAGAAATTAGGTCCTTGGGCCAAGCCAAAACTACTGCGTACTACTCTTTCAAAACTATTACTACTCTCTCTTCTTCAGAGAGAAGAGCTAAAGAACTAAAGCCTGATCCTGAACTTTTTATTTTAAAAATGTACTGTTTGCTTCTCTCTTTTGCCTAAGATAATTATGTTCGCTTGCTACACGATCTGTAAAGTAATGTGAAAGGAAATATCAAACAATTGTTATTTTAAAACCACAGAAATTAAACTAAAAAATAATAACACTTGCTCCTAAGTCAAATTTCAGCACCCATACCTCCAACACAAAAATATTTCAAATAAAGATGAAGAAAAGCTGGGGGGATGTAGGGAAAATGCCACCCCCTTTTTTTTTTCCATCCCCTAATTTTTAAGTACTAAAAGTGAATCACAGCCCAGGAAAACAGGAACGAAGGAGAACTTCAGTATTATAGCGCCACCCACTGGCCAGAAGTCCTCATAGCAAATGAGACAGCTATAAAAATAGATGAATTATTGAAATAAAGAAAATAACGCCGACTGCTGATTCATTAGAGCATCAGGAACTTCTTACAAAACAAAATCACACATATTATTTTATTTCAACAAGGGAAGAGAACATCTGTTACATATGAGCACAAAGGTGAGTTTTGCTAATTTTAAAATACAGGTCTGCAATGTTCAAAGGCTTTAAGATTCAAAACTTACAGACAAAACAATTAACATATATGCCATTTTGACTCTTTAGCTAAGTAAATAAATAATATCTTTAAGCAGGAAATACCTACTTGCATTTCCCTGCTTTCAAAGAAATTATACTACGAAACATACATAAATGTTCATGAAATCTACAATGGGATCAATCCTACCTGTCTTTAACCAGAGAAATATTGAAGTATAGAGCAAATAAAATGCCCCAAAAACATAGTTTCTTTTTTAAAAAACTTGAAGATCATTCAGATAAATTAGTAAAAATAAACATTTTCTTTAGAGTATTACAGCAGCTTTGAAGTCCAAAATATCCAACCTTAATACAACCCCTTTGCATGGCATCTGTTTTGTCTGTCCAGATCATTCTTGTTTATTCTCTCAAACACTAACATTCTTAAAATCTTGGCACGGAATATTTGAAAGTCATTTTTCGTCCAGCACAACATTGCCTTTAAGATGCAGAATTAGACAGAGCTTCACTCAGTTTATGGTCTATAGGGCCCTACTGAATTTTATCTCTAAAGACCAGACATCAGGATTCCCGCACAGACACAAACTCGGTCTTCCAAACTGGAATTCATGAATATACTCCAAAGAGTCAGGACAAGCTTCAAGTTTCTTTGATTGGATGATAATTATCACCAGGACAACCAAACAGTCTTTGCTTGGTCATAGATGGCTGATCGCAGACAAGAATATGATCAGAAAAGTCATATTCCCGCAGACATAAACTGCCAATACCGCCTTTTTAAAAGCATGGCCCTGAAAGAAAAATTGAGATATGAAACCAGGTACCGAAATTAAGGTTTGTGTCAATAAGAAAACAGACTTACTTACCTCTGCTTCAGATACAGAGAATGACTGAAGGATCTGAATTCTATCATCATCCAATATTTCAACTGTCAAGAACAACATAAATTTGTAAGGAAAGCGGGTAAACTTTCAAACAATAAAATAAAACCTGATTCCAACTGTTCACCAGTTTCCAGGGAGCGAGTTCTCCATTTCAAGGTACTAAATGTTGCAAACCTCTTTTCACAAACTGAGACAAGCTGACCGCAGCACACACTTGCTAAAGGACTTATAAAAAGCTCTCTTCCAGGACATAAACACCAGGCCAAAATCTTAGCATTCTAAGCTTCTTTTTAATTTTTACTTTCTTAATTAACAATTAAAATTGTACACACTTATGACATATCACGATGTTCTCACACATGTGTACACTGTGGAGTCATTAAAGCAAACCAGTTAACACATAACAGTTCAGGTTCTAAGTATGTAAGTGTCTTAAGCAGTCAATAATTCAGTGGTCACCAAAGTCCTGTGTATGCAGCCCCGCCAAGAACCAACACTGGCCGACAGATGTTTACTCCTTGACTCCCGGCTCTGCCTAGCAGTAAAGCCAAACCAGACCTTGCCCCTGGACAGCACAGGCAAACTGGGTCCCATCTAGCTACAAGTTTCTGGACACTGCAATCTAAAGAAGAGAATACTGTAAGCTTGTCAAACACGTAAAACCTGGCTGCACCTCTGCCCTCTGCTGACCCAGCTTTTCTATTTCTAAATCGCAGGTTCCCTCAGTATCTGCCATTCAGAGATCCCAGGGTGTGCTGGCCCCAGGTCAGATCAGTATGCAAAGTGAAGGTACTCATAAAAAAGCTTCGCTAAAAGCTAAACTCTTCCTCTTATATTTTACTCATAAATTCTAATACCAATGTACATTTTTTTAAAAAATCCTCACAACTTCTGCCACTGGCTGAGTAATCACACCAGAAGTGGTCGGTGATCTACCACGCAATAGTCAGTCACCAGTACCAGGAAGCTCAAATTGTACTCCAGTAGTTTGTGTAGAAATGATTCCACAAAAATGGCTTTTCGAGCAGCTCACCTTTTCGAGCGAGTCTGTAAGCATGTACCTCCAGAACAATCTCAGTCCCGGTGTGCCAGATGACAAATCCAATCATCGTGTACGTTTTCTGTGGGTCAGGAAGAGTCAGTCCTGGTAAGTCCATCCCTAGGAACATTGCTGCCACTAAGTGTAAAAGAAAAAATACATATTCAAGGACAGTCTCCACCAAAAGAGGCAATTATGTATGCGTGTATATTATATCAATTAAAACATCCTAAAAGAGTTTATGAAATAAGATTAATATTTAAGGCCAAGTAATTAATTTACCCTTTTTTTTTTTGGTACCAGGATTTGAACTCAGGACCTTGGGCTTACCAGGCAGGCACTGTGCCATATCTCCAGTCAATTTAGTCTTTTTTATTGTGATATTACGTGGGTTGAGACAGAAAATGACAATTACGATTTCTCTGTTGTTGAAAAAGAGGCACCCGAACTTTCCAAACTGTTTTAAATCTGCAGTGTAAGACGGGAGAGGCCAGGCGTGGTGGAGTATACCTTTAATCCCAGTGTAGGCTTAGATTTAGGCTGAGGCAGGAGGATCACTGCAAGCTCAAGGCCAGCCTGGGCTACAAAGTGAGCTCAAGGCCAGCCTGAACTGCAGAGCGAAACCCGTCTCAAAAAGACAAAAAAAAAAAAAAAAGAAGGGAGCAAAGTATGGAAACCACTGCTGGCTGTATCCCCTCTTCTTACTGAGCCCCGCGGACTACAGATGCGCCAGGAGCAGAGGCATCTGCCTGGGGTTCGTTACACAAAGAATCAAACATATCAAATAATCACACTTGCATTTGGCAAACCACCTCTTCCCTGTGGGAATGACCTGAGATACAGGGCGTGAGCCCCACCCTCAACCCCACCTGCAGAATGGCCTCAGTCTGCACTGCTCAAATGTCGGCTTATCAGCGTCGCTTATTCTGCTGGCAAAGACAAACACTCGAAAAAAGTCTTAAAATACTTCTAAAGTCATTTTTAAAAACTGAAACCTGAAGTAATGACTTAAATTATTACCTGTAAAAACCACTTTCTGGATTTCAATGTTTAAGGCTGATTTCTCCTCAACAACCAATTACTCCAATTACTGATGCCTCTAAAAATCATTTCAGCCAGATTACAACTTACAGTGTAGCAACCCGCAGTTATACATGAGCGGCGTCACAATTACTTACCCGCTATTATTCTAGCGGCCGTTCCCACGCTCCAGTGAGTCCAGTTAAATAGGCGCCTTCTACCAAAATGAAGGATCAATCAGTATTTTTAATCTGGATGGAATGACAATAACTCCCAAGGAAATAAAAAGCAAGGGATTTCCCTCACTGCCCAGGAATTCGATATCTGAAATACATTTTAAAGCCTTTCCAAGTAAGTACAATGTATTACCATACTTTATTTTTTCTAACTTTATTTTTGTTTGTTTGTTTTCTGTTACCAGGAATCGAACTCACGACCTTGCGCTTGCCAGGCCGGCGCTGTGCCGCTGAGCTAAATCCCCATCCCCTTTTTCTGACTTTATAAAGTTAAAACTGGTTCCACTTAAAAAGGGACTTGTTTGCCAGCCAACGCCGCCCACACCCGGGGGCAAGTATACAAAGCCGCGAGTACCTCGGGTCGTGGAAAGGCGGCCTGCAGGCTGCCAGCAGAGGCTGCATCACAGCTGCGGTCAGCACGGCACAGCCGAGGTACGGGTGGTAACCTGCATGCTGGACAAAGGTCCGTCGTTTACTTTCTGAGTCGCTTATCCATCTAAATCCTCAAGTTCAAACGATATACACGAGCATGTTACTAGGGCTGTCCCACAGCTTGTTCCTCGGTGGTGACGGCAGTGATGACGACGACATGACTGAGTGAGGTCCTGACATGGTGAGGATCAGCAGCACTCACTGGGTCCCCCCGAGTGCCGGGCACACACGCCCCGTGCGTTACCACGGTGCCCTCTGCGATGCCTGACCGCTGGTTACCCGCATCGCAATTGCAAATCGGGAAAACAGAGGCTCGGAGACATCAGGAACTGCGTCCAAGCCCACCGCGTGTAAACGGCAGAGGGGGAGCCCGTGCAGGGGCTGCTGCCCCCCTCCTCCGTCAGGGCATCAAATGACCAGCAACACCACGACAGCCATCCGCACCCCAGCGAGGCCCAGCGTTGCCCGCACGTCAAAGCAATCACCCCAGTGCGCCAGAATCGTTTGCTCAGACCTCTGTGTTTCTCTGAGCTGTGAGTTCTGCGTGATTCCCTGTCCCTGCGGAGCTGAAGAGTCGTGTTCACTCAGTAAATGCTTGGTGACTAACCGCTGCACGAAAGCTTATCTCCTCTGTGCTGAAGAGAGAGCTAACTCAGGAAAAAAACCACCGCCTGTAATCCCAGCACTAGGGAGGCTGAGGCAGGAGGATCGTTGCAAGTTGGAGACCAACCTAGGCTACCAAGTGAGCTCAAGGCCGGCCTGAACTGCAACAGCAAAACCCTGCCTCAAAAAGACAAAAAAAAAAAAAAAAATTCACACTTCTCCCCCGTAGCACCAGTTCAAACTCTGAATATTAAATGTAATATCAAATCCTTACTATAAAACTAATATAACGCAAGCATGGGCTCTGAGCTGAGGTGTGTGGCTTCTTCTCAACTGACCTAGTCACTGATTCATTCACGACACAGACACCCAGGGCCGGCTGTGTTCCAGAATCTTTTGAAGGTGCTTGGGGTACACCGGCAACAGACCAGGAGCTATCCCAGCTGTCACTGGGCTTACAGCCTGGAGTAGGAAAAGGCACATTAAATGCAGACGTAGGTGAAGTGACAGAGGCCGAGATGCTATGTGGGAAACATCCGGGTGACCAGGGCTCTCTGAGAAGTTATTATGTGCGCAATGACGTGGGAAGCGAGAAGCCTCCGAAGAATTTGGCCAACACCACAGAAGCAGGACTTCACAGACCACGCCCGCCTGTCCGCACCGCAGCCAGGAGGCCAGGGTGCAACGAGGTGGACGAGCCAGAGAGAAGAAGAGAATAACGGGGAGCAAATCGCGGAGGCCCCTTGCAGGACTCCGGCTTTTACTCTGAGTGAAACGGGGAAGTCAGAGACGCCGGCTGGGGCGCGGGAAAGAGAGGGTCTGATCCGCACCCTCTAAAACACCAGTCTGCCCTCTGTGCTTTCTGACCGCTCCTCTTTGGGGACAACAGAGACTGCACCTGAGCAAGGGCTGAGGACAAGACACGGTCAGGCGGCCGCTGTCCAAGTACTAGACGGCGGCGCCCCGAGCCCCCGGGGCGGGGTGAGGGGTGCTGGTGAGAAGCGCTGTGTTACGGACGGATCTTCAGCACAGGCGGCAGGATTCCCTGATGGATCGCATGCGAGGGGTGCAGGGGGCCCCAGGGAAGGGTCAGCCCCAAGTTTGGGGCGAAGACGGAATTCTGGCTGCTCCGTGGGAATGGCCGCGGGACAGCAGGCCTGAGAGAGTGGTGAGGAGCTGCATTCCGGAGCTGGTAAGTTTCACAGGTCCTAGAAAGGCCAGAAGAAGTCCTGAGCTCTGCTTATGGTAAATCTGTGAGGCCGGGGAGATCTGACTACAGAGAAATCCCGGGAACAGCCTCAGCTTAGGAGGTCTCATGACCAACGCCTGCTTCTTTTGCGAGGTAAACGGGATAACACACGAAGCACTTTCGACAGCTGGCCACACGCCAGGAACGCGATTTACGTTAGGGTGGTAGTCATCACGGTGCTGGTTAGAGAAAACCGCTCGCACTACTCATGTTCCTCGGATATCACACGTTGGATTTCAACCACTGTGTAATCACAAAACCCACTAAACCACCATGTGTCTGTCAGATGCAGATCACAAGTCACTGCAGTACCGGAGAATAGTGCTTGGCATCACCCCACCTCTGACCCGACTTCACAAAACTGTCATCTCACAACAGAGAGACAGAGACAAATGTCCTTTTACTCATCATTTGAGCACAAAATAGAACTTGCTCTGACGTCAGAATAGACAGCGTTAGAAGCACCGACTGAGATCTACTCACCCAGCTCCAGCCCCCTCTGTAGACAAAAGGCAGCACGAAAGCGATGCAGGTGAGCACAGACGTGGTGAGCATGAGCGTCCGGTGCAGCTGCGGGGACAGCACAGAGTGAGCGGACCGCAGGCCGGCACACGGAGGGTCCCGGGTGCGTCCCGGAGGCCGCGTTCCGCTGACACCGAGCCGCCTTTTATCATCAGTGAAAACAAAATTTTAACACGTTATGCTTTAAAGAACCCCTAAGCTTCCATCCCCGTCATTCAAAAATATTTGCTCAGGCGCCCCCGCCACAGAGCACCGGGACGGCTGCGGCACACGCGAGGCACGCCGGCTCCCGGGGCTTTGCTGCCCCAGAGACCGGCGCGAGGGTCCCGGCCCAGGGCTGCGCGGCCGCAGGTGTGGGGGGCGGCAAGGAGACAGGAAACGCCGGCGCTCGGGGAGCTTGGGCTGCAACTAATTCAGTGAAAAACATGAGACATAACGCTTCGTGCAATCAAGAGAGTATTATGGGTGAAAACAGGCGCTGTTACTGGAGCACGCCTTGGATTCCTGGCATAAACCAAAGCTACTCAGGCCAAGAGGGAGAGACAGTCCCCCTATATGTGTACGTCACTCCACACACACGCACAGTGCGTGTCACACACACGTGCACACACGCACACACGCTCACACAGTGCATGTCACACACACACGCACACACACACAGTGCCTTTCAGGTCAGTGGAGGATCTGAATTATGAAGAAACGTGCGGTGTGATCAAACAACACCGTGGATGTTTATTTTCCTAATATTTCACAGTAAAAGACGCGTTGCCGTTAATCCCCCTCAACATACGCCCCCTCTTCAAGTACGCTTGTCTCCTCCTTCCTGCCGCTTTCTGCCTCCAGCGTCTATAAAGGCGTGATCCAAACTGCAGTGAGCGATGCTGCCTAGAGCCCCCCGGGAAGGGCCGGTTTGCGAAACCACCGCGGCGTCCTGCGCTCACCTGTCCGGCAGACCTGGCAGGAAGCGACTTCCGGCGCCTGCACAAGTCCATAGTGACCACGAACGGCAAGGCTTTTGGGTTGACTGGGGCCGCTGTCAGCACCGCAGCAACACCACGAAAGACGCCAGGAGAGGACTTCCAGAGCGCGTGGGCAAGGGGCAGGGACGGGGACACGTGCTTGAAGCGCGGGGATACTGCGAGGGTGACGAACGGCAGTGTGTCTTTTACTGTGACCAACGGTTCCTTCGCGAACCTCCATCCTCGTACTTTGGACCCCACCCCACAGTCGCCCAGTGAGGCGCGGCCACACGCGCAGCGGGCCTGAGGGACAGGAAAGGAGGTGCAGGGGAGACGGCGCACGCCCACCGGTGCACACCCAACACACACCCGCCAACACACGCCGGCCAACACACACCCACTAATGCACACCCACCAGTGCACACCCAACACACACCAGCCAACACATGCACAGTGCACACCCACCGATGCACACTCACCAACACACACCCCCCAACACACATTGGCCAACACGCACACAATGCATACCCACCGGTGCACACCCAACACACACCCGCCAACACACACCGGCCAACACACACCCACTAATGCACACCCACCGGTGCACACCTAACACACACCCACCAACACACACCCACTAATGCACACCCACCAGTGCACACCCACCAATGCACACCCGCCAACACACACTCGCTAACACACACACACCGATGCACACCCACCAACTCGGAGGCACAGCAAACAGGAGTCAGGCTCAGAGATCAGGGAGAACAAACAAGACAGCCCCGCCGGCCAGCAGCGAGCAGGGAGGTCCGACGAGGGAAGCCCTGAGCGCTGCGCACCCAGAGGAGGCGTGAAGCACACCCCCTAAGGACGTCCAAGCTGCTCCACCGGCAGCGCTTGCCCTCGCAGCGTTAGGTCCGCTCCACCCCACACACGCTCTTTGGTCTTCCACTGTACGTCAGGTGCTGAGGGGCCGCAGCGGGACAGGGACAGCTGTCCTGCTTTACTATTCACCGGTCCTGCTTATGTTGCCGTAGAAACTGTGCTCACCCCGAGGGAAGGGACAACGCACAAAACTTTCCAGTCTCTCTGCCCACTGACTCCGCAGACGGATGATCCCACCACCAAGTTAGGGACGGCCCCATCCGCACCGCCGTCCCGCCGAGGACAGCTCCTGTCAGACCGGCGGGAGGCACCACGGTTTCTCCCCCGGCACGCCGGCCGCGACCCACGGCGGTGAGAGCTGTTCTGACAAGTCTGCCCGCCAACAGGCGCCAGGAAGGGCCGCGCGGGCGCCAGTGGCCACGTTACTAAGGAGACGCACAGCCCGACGCTCTCTCCGCTCCCCTTGCCTCTCCAGCAGCTATCCATCTGCTCTCAGCTAATTAGGAAATGAAAGAGGGGAGGAGGGTCTGACCCCTACGACAACTGTGAAGAAAAAACCCACATGGTTTATTTGTGATGTTCAATAATATAAAAACTGCATGAGGTGTTTTTTGCCTTGTTACCTACCTGAAACCAAACCGCTTCACCAAAGAAGAAAGCCTTGGACCAGACAGGTCTGAAGAAGCGGGCGATCAGCACACCGATGCTAACAGTGCTCATCCAGGCCACAAACATCAAGGCACCTGCAGGTGAGAGAGTCACACGGCTGACATCACAAACGAGCGAAGCTGTGTCCTAAATCACAGGGCCAAGTGCTCAGAAATAAACAGCCAGCAAAATACATTTAGCATACGTAAGTATGACCTAAAAAAACCTATGCATCGCAAGTTTTACCCAGCACTGCTACTTCCAAGAGCCAGTGCTTCCACAGCCCCTACTACACGGCAAGTGCTACAGGTATCTCACATGTATTAAACAGACCGACCTTTCCAACAGTGCTAGGAGGGATTTAGGCAACAGCTAAAGCTGAAGTATTATTCCAGTTTTGCTGGGGGTTGGGGGAACTAAGGCAAATTAAACAGCTTACACAAGTTCACAAAGTCAGGATTAAAATACAGTCTGGCTTCAGAAACCATACCAAAAGAATAAAAAGACAATCTACAGAACTGGAAAAAAATTGGGCCAGCTATTCCTTGGACAGAGGACTGTTATCTAGAATATATAAAGAACTCAAAAAATTAGACACCCCCCCCATTTGAAGACCCAGTTTAAAAATAGGCAAGTGAAATAAACAGACACTTCTCAGAAAAAGTGTAAATGACCAATAACACATGAAAAAATGTCCAGTATCTCTGGCTATTAGAGAAATGTAAATTAAAACAACACTGAGATTCCATCTCACCCCAGAAAGAATGGTTATCATGAAGAAATCAAATAATAACAAGTGCTGGTGAGGTTGTCGGGGGAAGGAACCCTTTTACTTGTTGGCAGGAATGCAAACTAGTACGACCACTATGGAAGCCATCATAGTAACTCCTCAAAAACCTAAAACTAGAAATTCCACTTCACTCAGCTCTTCCCCTTCTAGGTATCTTCCCAAAGGAGTTACAGACATCGTATTACACCGATACATGCGCACCCATGTTTACAGCAGTGTACTCATAATAGCTGCATACTGGAAATGGCTTAAATGCCCATCAACAAATGAATGGGTAAAGAAAACGTAGCATTTATAGACAGTGGAGTCCTACTGTGCCATGAAAATGCATAAAGTTGAATCATGTGAAGGCAAATGGATGCACCTTGAGACCATAATGTTAAGTGAAATAAATCAGACACACACAAGCTGAAACGCCTCATGGTTTCTCTTTCACAAGAAACCCAAAGATAAATAAAGAGTGAAAATAAAAGAGAGGTAATAGGAAAATAGAGAGACAGGTCTTTTTCAAATGGAATGGGATCGAGAGTTGAAGGGAGCAAAGAGGGAAAGAAGAAAAAAAGAGCCGAGGTGTGTTGCGTACAGTACCATCTCCACACAAGGAGTGTAATTATCATATAATACAAATATGCACTAATAAAAAACAAAATTTGTTTTAAAAAGGAAGAAACTGCTCTTAGCCATCTAGTATAGCTTGCCCGCAGCCGTTTCAGAATCTCCCCATGCTCCAATCACTGCCTGACTGGAGGTAGAACACATTAACGACAGTTAGGGGCCTGGGGATTTAGCTCAGCGGCACAGCACCTGCCTGGCAAGCGCAAGGTTGTGAGTTCGATTCCCGGTACTGGAAAAAATTTTTTAAAAAAACAACAATTAGGTAACTGTCAAGCTTAACTGTGGTGACATTGACGGCCGCTCCACCCTACCGGATAGCTCTGGAGAACTGAAACCAGTACACCGAACAGGTAAGCGCAACCAAAATGCGCATGCCTTCCAGGAGCCAGGGTGTACCACCACACTTTCCCACGCTAAGTCCTCTCCTCTCAACAAGCAGCCAGGCTGCTTCTCGGAAGGAACCAACTTCCTCTGACAGAGCCAGCGCACAGGGGCACTGCTTGTTCGTCATGCTCTTCTCACATGGTGCCGTCCCTTGTGCACACACGTGACACCCGAGCACGCCCTGAGCACTCTGCATACCTCCAGATCATTGTATGTGGGTCGGTTCCTCATCAGCAAAACCGTGCTCTGAAACCACACCACACACCATTCTATTATTCACATTTATTTCAGAAAGCAGCAACAATTCAAGTCTCAGGCAAATTAATTAATCCACTGATACTCAACCCTGGCTGCAATCAGAAACAACTAGGATCCTTTTTTTAAATTAGTGATGTCTTAAAGTCTCCACTGGCGATTTTAATGTGCAGGTAGCATTAAAAATGACTGAACTGCCAGGCATGAAGGCACACGCCTGTAATGCCAGCACTTGGGAGGCTGAGGCAGGAGGATCATTGCAAGTTCGAGACCTGCCTGGGCTACAAAGTGAGCTCAAGGCTAGTCTGAACTGCATTAGGGAGACCCTGTCTCAAATAAACAAAAAAAAATTGCACTACTTCCCAATTTTAATAAGAATTAGAAAAAAATGAAGGTAGATGATCTACCCGCAAATGGTCATGTTTAAACATTAAAGACTGACAAAACTTTGCTCAATTATGCTGGCACCACCCCTAATGCAGCCAGCTCTGAGCGTCCCGACAAGCCTCTTCCACAAGCAGTGACGCTACCACACGCGTGACTCACCGTGAACCTTCAAGAGCAGCGAGGAGCGGGAGCCTCCTACGTCCTCGGGAGAGGCCGTCACGTCGTGTTTCTCACGCGTGATCAGGGGTTGCTGAGAGTGCTTATAAAGTAGACCTGAAATTTTAAAAAACATTAAAGATGATAGAGAAGAATTACTGCCTCAGAAGGAAAAAACTGGAGAGATGGGCACAGAATGGAAAGAAAATTTCTTTTTTTTATTTTAAAAATTTTAAAAACTAACAAAATAACAATGAAGACAAAATCAAAACAACATAGAAACAACAAAAATGATACATGACCTCAAGACAAAATGATAGGAATTAACAATGGCTGCTACATTACGTACTGTTATCTTCAACGAAGTTGCTCAGTCCACCAGACGTAAGAATATAAGACTGATCAAACAATCAAAGACAGTAACAAGTAATAAAAAGAAAAAAACCACTGGAAATGACGCAGAGCTTCACCACACAAGATGGCAGGAGTGCAGCAATGGTGCTTATACTGCATACTGTTGTCCAGATCAGTCCTTCTGATTACCAGATTCAAGAGTGCGAAATTGGTCAGGAAAAAAAAACTTCACTACTGACTATTCCTTTCTTTTTCACGAGAGTAAAAATTAACTGTCAACAGAGCTGTCATTCAGAAGCAAAAGCAGCGTGAAGACACACGCAAGGGCACAGCTTTCTCCACAAAGTGAGGGAAATAACCACCCAAGACGTGGGCCAAAATAAGAATGCGGAGTGAGTAAACTATGGTAAAAGAACTGGTGACAAGAAATGGGACGAACAGGGGCTGGGGATTTAGCTCAGCGGCACAGCCGCTGCCGGGCAAGCGCAAGGTCATGAGTTTGATTCCCGGTACTGGAAAAAAAAACAAAAGAAAAAAAAAAAGAAATGGGAAGAACAGTAAGTCAGAATAATTACTGATGTGGTCACAGATCATTGAAGATATCAGTTATACCTTTTTTTGAGACAGGGTCTTGCTATGTAGCCCAGACTGGCCTCAAACTCATGGTGATCCTCCTGCCTCAAGTCAGATATCATTCTTGAAGGAGCATACATATTTCTTAAAGACATACAGACCATTAACCATTACCTACATCTAAAATCCTAGGACAAACTAACAGAAATTGGGCCTGGGACATGGTGGTGCATGCCTATAATCCAGTACTTGGGAGGCTGAGGCAGGAGGATTGCCACGACTTCAAAGTCAGCCTGGACCACTCTGCAAGACCCTGTCTCCAAAAAAAAAAAAAATAGATATTGGGTCTGGGAGAAGAGGGTGAGGAGAGAAAGGAAAGCATTTTAATGAACATGGTATTCGGTATACTCAACTCACACTGAGTTTAACAAACCAAACTCCCAAATATCCATGAAATAAACAAACTGAAGATGCATTATTATTGTTTGTTATTATTACGTATAAAATTAAACTTGAGAATTTTTAGAATTATTCTATCCTACAGAAATAACAATTTTTAACCAAAGGAATATGTATAAGAATGTTCACAGCAACTTCTTTATGCTGTCAGGAAAAAAATTTAAACAAACCAAATATCATTAGGAGAATGAGCAGATAAATTACAAAACATACTTTAGAATATGCAAATGTAAAAGTAATTTAAAAATCTGACATGACATAATCTATAAATCTTTACCTCAAATGATAAATGTTAAACCACAGATTATATCTTAATAATTGCCAAAAGTAAATAATTACACAGGATATAGTTTACATTTCTCCAAAAGGCAATAAAAGTAAAAGATAACAACTAAAACCTAGAGGGAAAATCATCTACATAGCTATTGATACTATTCCTTTGAATAATCCCAGTTAAACAGGAATTCAGAAGTAAAATCGCAAGACAGAGATGCGTAATACTGAAGATACTTACACAAAAACATATGGATGAATCCAAGGTAAAGATGAGCATTAAAGCAATCATTTAACCTGAGGTGCACTTAAAACAAAAAAATAGAACCTAGGAAATCAGAAAGGCCCATACAATTGAGTTTTTGAAAACTCTGACCACAAGATAAAAGGAAATATCAAAAACATTAGAAATTAACAAGGTGAACTGTGGAAATCAGTGGAGATTCCTCAAAATCTAGGATTAGCAGTCCTAGTTGACCCAACTATTGCCCTTCTGGGTATTTTTCCAGAAGAACTGAAAACATCATACCAACATATACAGTGATATACATACATGCAAACATATACAGTGATATATGTGCACCCATGTTCATAGCAGCGCAATTTGTCATAGCTAAATCTTGAAAACAAAGCAAATGCCCATCAACTGAGGGATGAATAAAAAAGATGTGGTATTTTTATACAATGGAGTATTACTCAGCTTTAAAGAAGGATAAACTCGAGGCTTTTACAGGTAAATGGATGCAACCAGAGACCATACTCATAAGTGAAATAAATTAAACCCATGTGTGTAAACATTGTATTGTCTCCCTAGTGTAAGAACCTGAGAGAGTACATAAAATACAAAAGGTACAATAGATATTGTGAAAAGGAAAGAAACTGCTCAAAAGGAAAGAACAATTGGGATGAGGGAAGGGAAAAAAGAAAGAAGGAAGGGGGAAAAGAACCATACATATATATGTACACACACACACAATAGCTAAAATAATTGTACTACTAATTTCTATTGGTTTATTGAAAGGAACAGTTAATGCTTAATTTTTTTTTGATGAATTTTGTATGCCTATCTCTGGTAATCTGGGCAACTACTTTGAAGATAACAATATGTAATAAAACAACCACTGCTGATTTCCTATCACCTTGTTTTGAAATTCTGTATCATTTTTAATGTTTTTTATTCTCTTTAAAATTAAAAAAAGAAATTAACAAAGTAATGGCATTTGATGTAGAAGACATAATTACAGTAAAACACTTAAAATCACACAAGACTCTCAATCTTACAACATGTACAATTTCAAGTAGGCCAAAAATTTCAAACTCTAAATGAAATGGAAGAATTTCTGGGAAAATACAAAAGTACAAAAACTGACCAAAGAGCTAGTAGGTCTGGAGAGTAACAACAACAGATATTTTTATAGTTAGTGAAATATTTCCTTCCTATATTTAGACTATTATATGTGTGAGTTCTACCATAATGTCAGAAAACTTTTTGTAACTTTAAATTTTTTTTTATGTTATTTAAACTTCTAAGTAGGGAGCCCTCAAGAGGCTGAGGCAGGAGGATCACTGCAAGTTCGAGGCCAGCCTGGGCTACAAAGTGATCTCAAGGCCAGCCTGAACCGCATAGCGAGACCCTGTCTCAAAAAGACAAAAAATAAAATAAAATAAAATGCACTTCTAGAGTTCATCTTATGAAATTAGCAGTACCCTGAAACCAAACTGGCATGCGTACATCCTAAATATATGCACATGCACACACAACCCAACAACAATAGACTGAAACCACTTACGAATGCAGACGTAAAAAGCTTAAATAAAAATATTAATGAAGGGGGCTGGAGATTTAGCTCAGTGGCAAAAGCGCCTGCCTGGCAAGTGAAAGGTTGTGAGTTTGGTTCCCGGTACCGGAGAAAAACCAAAAAAAAAAAAAAAATATTAATGAATCAGAGTTGTGTCTTAAAAGAATAAAAAAATGACCAAGTGTTACAGTCTGTGTCTACGTGTCCCCTGAAAGCTTCATGTGGTCAGAGGAGTTTTTGGAAGTGGCTGAATCTAGAGTGTGTGATTGATTGTGGTGCAATGCCGGGACCTAGACTGCTGGGATTAAGGTGGGTGGCTGCTGATCAGTCCACTGACTGGACTGTCACCGCCCTAATCCCGATAGACTGGACACAAAACAAGAGACAGGAAGGCTTGTCTCTCTTTCCCTTGTTGGTGCTGTCCTCCGCCACTATAACTGCTGCCCCTCTGCCACGTGTCACCCTGCCTTGGAGCCATAAAAGTTTTCTCTAACACTAACATTTTATCCTGCTTCAAAACTTTGTGCTCATCCAAATGCAGAGGCCATTGTGGTCAAAACGTCACCTTTTCGTCGAGTTCCTACTTTACATAATGTTCTGAGAAACAAAGTTTCATGGTTAACTACAAGTCAAATTTCCAGGCAACCCGGGAAAGGATTGTAACTCCTTGCTGACAAATGTGTACCTTGAAATGAGCAGTTATAATAATCTCTGCAAAATAGGTAGAAAAGGCGAGAGTGGGAAAGAAATATTCTTACCATCAGAAGCCGCACCGTCTGCTAGAAATATGTAGTAGCTTGTGTTTAGATCAAATCTATTCTTAACCCCAGGAAGGGCAATCTTTCTTCTGAAAGAACACTGCATGACACCGTCCACCAGCCTCCACGCCACATCCTCAAGAGGACCCTGAAAACACGCACACAATGGGTCTTCTCAGCACTTCCCAAAAATTTGCTAAAAATAAGACGTGATCAAAATCCTGCCCCCGCTCAAAGTCCTTCCTCTGTGACACATGTGCATGTTGTGTCTGCAGGACCATTGTTTCTCACTTCCTCTGCAAAGAGGACAAGGAGGGTTTTCCCTCCCAGTTTATTTGTTTTTATCCCGCTTGTCAAAAAGATTATTTTTACTTTGAGCCAGAGCCCTGCAGTTGGGTCAGAAACTTTAGCAGATGTCCTGACTTCACCTGGCTACCAGTACACAATCAGAAGCACTGAGGAAATGATCACCCAGCAATACCTTGGGGGCCTAAATGTAACAGCTGGGGCGAGTCTGCAAGCCAGCTGGGTCCCTGCGGGAAAGTGGCGCAGGGTTGAGCTGAGGAGCGTCGCCCGTGCAGGCAGCCCTCATTTGCTGTGTCGTTAAGTAGCGCTACTGTTCCCGCAGAGCTCATTTGTTTGTCAATTGCCCTGTGAAAAGACATCTCTCTACCAGAAATGGCCTACAGCTGGCACAGTTGCCAACAAGGGGGGCTTAAGACAGCTTCCCAAAGGGCTACTCTTTGCCACACCTGTTCCTCCTCCTCGCTAGTCAAGGAACCCTCTGTCACCAATGTAAGCCTCTTCTTTCTCTTGGGTCCAGGAACCGAACTCGTGACCTCGTGCTAGCAGGCAGGCGCTGTGCCACTGGGCCACATCCCTGGCCCAAGCCTCTTCTTAACAAATGTGAGCAAGCTTCTGGAAAGGGACTAATACTCTGACCATGGTAAAAAGCCAGAAAAAAATAATTTTTATCAGATGCAACAAGGATTTAAGTGGCATAAACTTAAGTGGCACAGACTTCATCTTTTTAAACAAAAGAAACTTGTTTTATGCTTTCTAAAGTGTAGGAAGCTGGGGGCCAGGGATATAGCTCAACAGCACAAGCGCCTGCCTGGCAAGGGCGAGGTCCTGAGTTCAATTCACAGTACCAAAAAAATAATAATAATAAAGTATAGGAAGCTGGGCATGGTGGTGCATGCCTGTAATCCCAGCACTCAGGAGGCTGAGGCAGGAGCATCACTGTGAGTTCGAGGCCAGCCTGGGTCACAAAGTGAGTTCAAGTCCAGTCCAAACTGCATAGGGAAACGTCTCAAAAAAGAGAGTGAGAGAGGGAAGGACAGGAGAGGAGTCCCGTTGCCAGGCCCCTGCCCAGTCTAGCTTCTTACTGAGAGCCTGGAAGGCTCTGGCATGGCTGCGCCCCTGACAGCCACAAGGCAGATGGCAGCTACGCAGCAGGATGGGGGCCAGCCAGCAGTGCCCGGAGGCTCACACTCAACACTCACCCTGGAGTCCATCACAGGGTGACTTCGTCCTGTCAGGTGGGCAGGCTGTATGTGCACCACCTCGTCTTCACGGATGCACATGTAAGCGTCATCGTCACCCTGAAAAACAGGTGCCAGTGAGAAGAGTTTAAAGGACTTTCAACGTTCAAAAAACTCTAATCAAAATATTATTTAACTTTGTTAAAATGTTACTCACTAATGCAAATGATATTATGAATTCCAGAGGAACAGCTGTCAAGATTTTTAGTGAAAAATAATGTCTTAGAATATAGGACTATGGTGCACACCTGTAATGCCAGCACTCAGGAGGCTGAGGCAGGAGGATCGCTGTGAGTTCGAGACCAGCCTGGGCTACACAGTGAGCTCAAGGCCAGCCTCAAGTGCATAGCAAGTCCCTGTCTCAAAAAAAAAAAAAAAAAAAAAAAAAAGAATATAGGACTAAAATTTCAGCATAAAATAATAGAACAACAACAATATCTCATGGTTTGGGGTATAGCTCAGTGGGACAGTCCTTGCCTAGAATACATGAAGTTCTAGGTTCAATCCTCACTACTGAAAAAAAAAAGACATGTTATATGTTATAGTCCATAAATCCATCACCAACTAATACCATGATTAATGCTTCATATATATCCCTGTAAACTTATTTGTACCTATACCTATTTTTTCAAGTGGAAAAAGTTTTGTTACCTTTCTTTCACTTAACTTGCCAAGAACATTGTTCCATATATTTATTTGTAAATAAATATCTATGTGCTATGTAGTTCAATGACAATGCATGTATTGTATATTTTTAGTAACTCAGGGTGGAAGATACTATAGTCAAATATGCTATCTCTTGTATAGACTTGATATATTTAATGTTATATAACCTGGACAAAAAATATTCGAGCTCAAAGAAGTTTTTGTCAGTATAATGCTTATCTGTCCTCTAGTCTCCAATATTCTTAAACTCTGAAAGTTAGATCTTACTCCGTTTTTTGGCTTTGGAATACTAGGGATTTAAAGTGATCTACAGCCCCAATACATTTTTTTTGGAGACAGGATCTCACTAAGTCACTTGGTTGCCCAGGCTGGGCTCAAACTTGCTGTCTTCCTGTTTCAGCCTCCCAGAGTGCTGGGATTACAGGCGATTTTTTTTTTGTTTTGTTTGAGACAGGGTCTCACTATGTAGTTCAGGCTGGCCTTGAACTCACTATATAGCCCTGGCTGGCCTCAGACTCTAGGCAATCCTCCTGCCTCTGCCTCCCAAGTGCTGGGATTACAAGTGTATACCCCCATGCCTGGTGATTTTACTCTTTAAAGTGGCTACCCTGTCTCCAAAAAATAAAATAAAGTGGCTGTCAGAGGCAGGTAGCAACTTTAAAAATCACTTAAGCGATGGTACAAATAAATAATCTTCATCTTAATTTATTGCACCTAGTACAAAAGCTGTCTAACAAGGTCTTTTTGTGCTTTAATCACTAACTTTTTGTTTGTTTTTCTAAGAGGTTTGCCTTTTACGAGGTCTCACTATGTTGCCCGGGATGACCCCAAATCCTGGGCTCAAGCAATCTTCCTGTTTCATCCTCCTGAGAAGCTGGGGCTACTGCCACATACACTGCCACCGCATCTAGCTCTAGTCACTAACTTCTTAAACAATCATCCTGCCTCAGCCTCCCAGAGTACTGGCATTACAAGAGTGTGCCACCATGCCTGGCTCCCGCATGGCTTCTTACTAGTGAGAAAGGAAGCGCCTTTGAGAAACCATGACATGTGGCCTGCGTCTCTTGAAGGCCTCCACTCTGTTTCTTTGAGTGTGTGCTTCTAAACTGCCGCCCAGTAAATCCCTTGATGCCTCTTACTGACGCAGCCTGAGACTTCTTTTTCCTGGCAGGAGTCGGAGCTGCATCATCCTACAGGTAGCTGGGTTCTGGTGTCCCGGCTCCACTGCGGACAGCTCCTCCTTTGCCTGGGGACGTTTTTCTCTCGGGCAGCCCCGGGCAGGAGGTGGAGCGGCATGGCCAACCCCAGTGTCAGGAGGCCCAGCCAAGGCTTTCGGTTCTTCCTGCTCCCATTGCCTTCGCGGCTGGGCCTCTCCCTCCCCCTCCTTCCCCTCCCTTCTCTCGCTGTCTCGATCCAAGGGCCTGAGCTTGGTCCACCTGAGGCCACAGCTCCCGCTCCGCTGGCTGGGGACACCTCGAGGCTGAGAGGGTTCAGCGGCCCTTCGGGCGCGCACAGATGCCCTCAGGACCGGGTGTCTACGCACTCAAACCAAGAAGCCTGCTGGTTGGTGTGGGGGGATTTGTTTGTTTGTTGTTGTTGTTTTCTCTTCCCTAAAAATCCCACTCTCCACCTGTCCGCGTCCTTTCTCTTCTCCGGTTCTGAGGCTTTCATGGTCAGGAAACTCAACTCCCTTCACTTTATCCGACGCCAGGAGAGAAAGGCAGGCGGGCGCCGGGCTCTGAGGGTGGCGCCCACGCTTCTCCTGGGGTGCCCTGGTGCGCCCCACCTCCTGCCGTGCTGGCGGGGAGCAGGGCGAAGTTACTCTTGCCCGAGGCCCTAGGAGGACAAGCCCTAAACTCCTGCTGGCCCCGCCAGCCGCTCTTCCCCACCACACGTTCCCGAAAGGAAAAGGGAAGCAGGTGTTCTCCGCGCCCCCGGGCATGCACTGAGACGGAGGGAGAGATGGCAACCGGGCGACCGTGAGGGGAATTCCCTCCAGCCCGCTCAGCCAGGGGCGGCAGCCTGCGCTGTGGGGTGCCCCGGGCTGCCCAGCGCCAGCCTGCACCCGAACACGCGCCAGGCTGCCCCCCAGCCCTTGCAGCGGCCGTCACCCTCCTGCATCTGGATCCGGTCCTGTGCAGCCCCGCCAGCGGGACTCTTCTGTCGCCTCCGGGGGTTGCCTCTCTCTCTGCAGCTCGCTTCCTCCCTCCATCCTATTTGGGGTTGGTAATCCTATCATGGTGGCCTCAAGCTGACCTCCCTATCTAAAATGGTAGGCAGCCAGGTGTGGTGGCACGTGCCTGTAATCCCAGCACTCAGTAGGCTGAGGCAGGAGGATCACTGTGAGTTCTACACCAGTCTGGGCTAAAAAGTGAGCTCAAGGCCAGCCTGAACTGCATAGCGAGACCCTGCCTCAAAAAGACAAAAACAAAACAAAACAAAAAAAAACAGTAGGTGACGTGTAGCTGCTAAGTAGCATCCCCAGACTCTTTAAACTCTCTGAGTTCTTTACATGTTACAGGTCCCTAGATGGAAAGACCCTGGGTTTGTTGTTTTGTTTTTTTTTTTTGAAAGCCCAGCTGTTGTACATGACTCGCATTTCCCGCTCATTCTTCTGATCTGTTGATGAGGATCTGAGTAGCTGTGTGGAGGGACCAGGGTGCTCTTCTGGTCATGGCAGCAGCGGGGCAGACTTCTTCACCACTTGTCCAGACACCGAGAATATTCAAGGTGCGGGTGGAGCAGGCTGCCACTCGGGCAGTTCCAACCCCGGGGAAACAGGGCAAGCGTCCCTGTGGGAAGTCTAATCCTGAGATTCTATCTTTTCTTTTTCCTTTTCCTGCTTTTCTATCTTTTTTTCAGGAGGCGTGCGGTTCATGCAGACAATCTTGAAGGCATGCAGTACATCTTAAATGATTATGGGTACTTCAGTATCTGTCCCCAAAACATCACCTTTAGGTTATAGTTTACAAACTTGGGACTGATTTTAAGTGCAGAATTTTTGTAAAGGATGATTTGTCTATATTTCTTTAAATGTCAGTTAAAGAATAAAAAGGCAAGTCTTTAATCTATGTTACCCAGGCTGGCCTCACACTCACAGCCACCTTCCTCCCTCAGCCTCCCCAGTGCTGGGATTACAGGCGTGCACCACCACACCAGCAAACAATACTCTTTTAGCTTCCAGCCTTTCCTTGTATAACATGGTTACAAGATAAAGCTGAAGTGTCCATGACTCGCTAATGTTCTTGTCCTCTTTTCCAGACTATCGAAAGATAAAGAAAGATAATCACCCGAGGCAGGTGATTAGGGCATAGTGAACTGGCTGGGCAAGTGGGTGTGACCTGTCAATCAGGACAGACGTATAGAACAGTTCCAAAAGCCCTGCCCCTGAGACGCATCAGAAAACCCTATCTTCAACTCTTCCCAAAAGAACTTAAGCAGGTTTTTAATAGGACAGCCTAGACCTGAGTGGGAGATAAAAAAGGCAGCAGCCATGAAGTTGTCAATCAGGATACTGTCACCTCCTTCAGTGCACTTTTGTTACCTTTAACCGGCCTGCACTCACTATGCAGACCATGTTTCTTTTCTTTTCTTTACTTTTAATAAACGTAAAACCTGCTACCTTTTGTACTTGTTTTGCCTAATTTTCTGCTCAGGACAAAAAGAACCTAGAAAGAATCTCTAGTACCCCAGAAACTGGTAACGTGCATTAGACAACAAAACTATCTTCCTTTGTCTCCTCTTTAGTCAGGGAGAGATATTTAGCCCCTGGCTAGGCAGGACCAACGCCCATCCCCAGCCCAAAGCAGCTGTAAGAAATCAGCCTTGCCCCTTGTGTACCCCTTAAGAAAAAGGGATCAAAATTTCAGAGGAGGAAGTGAGGTAGGATAGAAGAAATAAAAATAAGTAGAAAGAAGGCAAGGAAAATCATAACTAAAAAAAGTATGTGTTTAAGAAGACCGCAACTCCAGGACACAGTTACCCAGGATGACCCGTACCAGTACTCTCTAGGGTTTACGCTTTTTTTCTAGGCCCATCACACCCAAATTCCTTCCATAAATTAGCTTAGTTGAAAAAGTAAAGGGAAGAAACCTGTTCTTAAAGTAAAGGAACAAATTGAGAGAATTTAAAGAATGTTTTTGGCAAAACCTCTAAGATCATTTAGCCAAAAAAAAAAAAGGGCAGGGCTCATGCCTTTTACAGGTGGGTGAGACACCCCCTTTCCTGTAAACCAAGAGGGAACGTCCTACAGATGCAGAAACTCCTCCACCGAAAACACATCAACAGTCCCAGCTGTAGCCCCCCTCTGTCGAGGGTACACACTGTGTACTTTCAAAGGTATGCCAAATAAATCCCTTTATGACTGTTTAAAAAATGATTACAAGCACATGAAAGTGAGAGTGGAGAACACCCCGTAGCAGAGAACAAGGGCAAACCCAGACACTAAAGGGGTGCACCAGAAGGGTACCAAGGTCGGCCTGAAGGGCCCCTTAAATAAAACCACCAGAAGAGAAAGGGCGGTCATGAGCTATAGCACAAAGGACAGAGGAGTCAAGCCACGGTCACTCTGAAAGGAGAGGAGAGGGACAGAGGAAAGAAGGCTCCTGGCACAAGAACGTCGGCTATAAATAAGCTACGACATCGCCATTTCACAACCACAAGTGTTAACGTGTGACTCACAGAAAAAGCACCAATACATGCTGAAACTACTTGGCAACAGATTCCCAGGCAGCAGAGCATTCACACAAACTCCAAGTATTACGCCGCCTGTTATTTATTAATTGCAGTGAGAAAAGACACCCACGCAATGGAGAAATGCGAAAGACACCAGCGATGAAATAGCATCAGCAGCAGTGGAAGAACTGAACGACGATGCACCTTTCGGGATGATGCGGTGATTCGGAAACAACAGCCGTCACACGTGATTGTGCCAAGAATCTTCACGTGAACTAACTCTATACATTTTAGAACATTCCACAAAACCACTGGTCTGAAAGGGGAAAAAAAATCAAGGAAAAAGGGTAACTGTTCTAACGCAAAAAAGATCAACAAAGGTATACCAATTAAATGCACTGACAACTGGTTTGGGATCAAACATTTAAACAAAACAGAAAACAGGCATGGTGGTGCACACCTACAGTCCCAGCACCCACGGGCCTGAGGCAGAAAGGAGGCAGAGGTGGAGGACCACCACGTAGTGAGTTCGAGACCAGCCTGGGCGACAAACTGAGTTCAAGGCCAGCCTGAACTGCACAGCGAGACCCTGTTTCAAAAAGACAAAAAAAAAAATTCAGAGACTAGCCAGCCACTGTTAGCAGAACTGCAGAAAATTAAACTTTCCATCAATTTTTATGACCTAGGACCAAAACAATGGCTCTCATAAATTTACAAGCCAATTTTAGAGATTGTTCAGTTTTACTATGTAGTTCAGCCCAGGCTTAAACTTGCTATATAACCCAGGTTGACCTCAAACTCAGAATCCTCCTGCCTCAGCCTCCTTGGTCCTGGGATTACAGGTGTGCACCATCCGCCCAGCTACAAGCCGGATTTCTAAAAGATACAATTTAGGCTGTCTAACCTGTATTCAAAACATCAGATGCCTTTAGTATTTATGTTTTGTTTTGTTTTTGGTACTAGGAATCAAACTCAGGACCTCACGCCTGCCAGGCAGGTGCTTGTGCCACTGAGCTATATCCCCAGCCAAAATTTATCTTTTCCTTTTTTTTTTTTTTTTTTTTTTTGGCACCAGGAATCAAACTTAGAACCTTGCACTTGCCAGGTAGGCACTTGTGCCACTGAGCTATCTCCCCGGCACCTTTAGTATTTAAATCTATATTATCTACTAAAAAATATAGGAGATCATAAAAATTCCCTTAAAATTTTAAAGATAACAACCCAAAATAGAAAGAAACCACTTTTAAATGTTTTGAAGATGATTCATTTCCACCAATTTAGGCACAGGTGCACAGATGATTTTAATCATTAAACAGGATTACTATGTAAATCAACTACACCTGCATAATTGTGTCTTTTTTTGTACACATTTTTGATGAGTCCTACGGTAGACACAGGTAAGATTTCTAAGTAAGATAAACATATCTTGAATTACAGATAAATGCTTTTGTGCCGTCCATGCCTACAATTTAGAACAGAAATAACTAGCCTACCTGTCAGCTATCTGTCCCAACACTTAACACAATAATGATGTGTCCTCTCACTGGCAGACTTCATGTGACCGACAAGAAGAAATGTCCTAGTACATCACAGTATCAATTTGGGCTCCAAAGTGACTGCAATAAGTTTTTTTTAACTGACTCAAGTATATGTCTAAATGAGAGCTACACTTCAGAGATGAACCCTAACAAAATTATACAGTTATTCAACAAGGTCTTTTAATCCTTTTTGGAGTCATTATCAGAATTTCTTTCATAGCCAGTCCTGTCACATTTACCTTTCATTGTAGCTTGATTTTTTTACCCACCCTTGTGATTCATCTGACACACCAAACTTAATTCATTTTGCCAATGCTGAGAATACCCAAAAGAATGAGCAACAGGTCTGATAGCAAGTATGAAGGCAAATACAGAAAATGTCTTGAACAACTGCAGCATTATTTTCCATAAAATTTTTAAAACTTCCCATGAAAGCAACTTGGAAGGGGAAAGATCCAAAATATCTTTCTTTTTTTCGGTACTAGGGGTTGAAGACAGGGCCTTGTGCATGCTAGGCAAGCACTCTACCACTGAGCTACGTCCCAGCCCAGAATTTCTTATTTTTTATACCACATGACATCATTTGTATCTCACAGATGTAAGGTTCAGCTGTTGCTTCATGAAAAGGCCAGCAAGGTCATTCTAGAGCTATTGAGCAACTTGAATCATACACATACACTGAAATGTCATCTCCCTGAAAAAACTTACAGCTGGCTTCCAACGGTACGTGTGGCAGGGCACCAGGGCCAAATGTGATTAGAGTGTACTTTTAAAAACAGCTTTAGCCAGGTGCGGTGGCACATGCCTATTATCCCAGCACTCAGGAGGCTGAGGCAGGAGGATCGTTGCAAGTTCAAGACCAGCCTGGGCTGTAAAGTGAGCTCAAGGCCAGCCTGAACTGCATAGCAAAACCCTGTCTCAAAAAGACCAGAAACAAAAACAAAACAACAACAAAAAAGAAAACATTTCAGTTATCACAGCCATCTCAGAATCCCTTGTCTGTCTCTGAAATAGGATTCCCTAAAGAAGTGGGGTTATGTTTAAACTCTGATAGGGAAAAAGATTCTCGAAAGGTTCTCTGCCTTTGCAAAAATGGAAATAAGGAACTTTCCCCGCTGGTGCCCCCGCCCCGCCCCAGTCACCACACACTCCCGACTCTGCCTGCAGAGGACCTGCCTGTGTCCGGGCCACAAGACCCTCCTCGTCTCTCCCTGGGAAGTCAGGGTGTCCGTGCGGCACTGCCCTTCCACGCCACGGCACGAGCCTGCCACCTACAGCACCACCGGATCCACCCGGCACGCTCAGGGAGCAGGAGAACCTGCCGAAGCGAAGGCTGCCCGCTGCAGACGGCGTGACCGCGCTTCACCTGCACACACAGGTGTATCCCGGGGGCGGGGCGCCAGGAGCAGAACGCACACTCCCGCTGCCCCGCTCGCGTACACTGCTGCGGTTTGGAAAGCATCCCAAACAACACGCCGCCTTATGCACCTTCAACCGCGCTTCCCGCTTCGCCACAAAAGCGCACACACGTGGCAAACCCGCTGGACCTGCGATGGTCTTGCCAACTGCCCCCAGGACAGCCTGCTCTCAGAGGTAGGCGGCTGCCCAACTGGTAAAGTCAAAATTAGGAAACTCAGCCACTTAACTCTGAATCCGTTCTAAATTACTTTCTCTTTTCCCATCCCACCAGTACGTGTGATAACCCGACTCTGGGAGAAAGAGCTAATCTGCTGTTGGTTTCATTATTTTAATCCTCGCAGTGGTACTAACACCGCGCCGCTCCTCCTCTGATCAGTGCACACGGAAGAGAGGTACGAACCATCCATCGGTCTCGGGACAGCGCAAAGGACAAGTAGCCTTCGCCGGGACCGCTCATCTCCACCAGCACCGACTGGGCGTCCCTGGTGAACGACAGGAAGACGCAGGCGTGCTCTCGCTCCGGGTCGCAGTTCAGAGGGCTCCGGACGCAGAACTTCTTCTTCCCACAGTCCGAAGCACTGAACTGGAAAGATGACAGGGAGAACAACCCCTCATTATGGAGCAAGCACTCACTGCCAGCCCCAGCAGGCCGCGACCTTCGGTGACGGGTTTTAATGAGGAGACCTTCTCATCACAAGGGTTGAAAGAAAAGAACACAAGCCATTCCACATTTGAAGTGATCAGAGCAGTAGTTAGGTTGTAAACTTTTGAACTTCATTAATTTTAATTAAAATTTAGAAAACTGCATCCTAGTTGGCCTGCAGCGGTACAAGAGCACTGAAGTCCCTTTAATAGACAGGCGTTTCACAAGCGCATTCCAGAACACATCTAGGGCAGAGTTTCTGGTAAATTTTGAGAAGCTTCTTAGGGATTATGTCCAGATTCACAGTCTTGCCTAAGAGGTAGTCTCCAGTTGTCAAAGATGGGAGTTTTAAAAGCGGACAAATCCTCAGCAAGTTTTTATATTTAGATCTTGGACCCTGCTTTCAAAATGCAGGTTCAGGCCAGGGATGTAGCTCAGTGGCACAGTGCCTGCCTGGCAAGCTCAAGGTCCTGAGTTCAATTCCCGGCACAAAAAAATAAAATAAAATAAAATTCAGGTTCAAATTTGATACACAAGCCGAATGTGATGGCACACGCCTGTAATCTCAGCACTTGGGAGGCTGAGGCAGGAGGATCGTTGAGAATTTGAGACCAGCCTGGGCCACAAAGTGAGCTCAAGCCCAGCCTGAACTGCATAGGGAGACCCTGTCTCAAAAAAGACCAAAAAAAAAAAAAAAAATTGATACACAAGAAAAAAAGTTACCCTGATAAATATCACCATTCCAAACAGCAGTAATAATTTAGTGAGGGGAGGAACCGGCAATGACCTAAAAAGATTTAATCCAGAGCTGCTTCTTATGCCTACTAGAGGAAGAATCTCAAAAACACATCAGCTCCACAATGTGGAAGAGCAAGCAAGCACTTTGCTGGAGCGGGCTGCAAAAGCACCTTTCAGAAGAAAGCTAGACGTTAACTTTATCCAAGTAGATTTAGAACGTCAGGGCTGATCCCAGGAGGGTGACGAGGAGCCGCTAGGAACTAGGAAATGTAACTTTGGTCTCTGCTGCCCCCTTTACTCCACAACATTTTCCAAAGATCTCACCCCTGAGGGTCCTTTACCTTCAAACATCCAAGAGGGCAACTGAACAAAATAGACCCTACGATCTCTTCTAGTTCCGAAAGAACGCTACAGTGCTATGACTTTGAGCAAAACGTCCTATTATCAGAATTACAAACGGCACAGAGACACAGGCAAAGCTCCAGCAAGAACTAATGCCTTTTATTGACTACATGGGAAGCTGCGGGACAAACTCTTCATTCCCCTAAAACAGCTGGGGTGTTTTGTTTGTTTTTGTCTTTTTGAGACAGAGTCTCGCTGTGCAGTTCAGGCTGGCCTTGAGCTCACTTTGTCGCCCAGGCTGGCCTCAAACTCGTGACGATCCTCCTGCCTCAGTCTCCCGAGCGCTGGGATTACAGGCGTGCGCCACCACAACTGTCTAAAGCAGCTGTTAAATAAAAGGCATTAAGACTAAAGAAAGAGCTAGTCCAAATAACAGCTATAATCGTATGGCCAAGAGAAGTGCAACATTCATAAAAACGTAACCAAATTAATGTCACCTATACACACTTAAAAATGCAGAAGAGAAAGTGAAGACTAACATTACATGGGAGGAAAATGCTTTACTTTGTCTACATGAGGACAACAATACAAAAAGGACTGCAAAGGAAAAAGGACTAATGTTTACTAAATATTAAGTGCACAGCCCAGAAAACACTTTCATTATTTCAATCCTCATAGTGACACTAACAGCTGATGTCACTCTTTCTCCTAAGTGAAGAAACTGGTACTGAAAATCAGGATTTCTCTCAAGGCCCGCAGGAGGCAGGCAAGGCAGCGCTGGCCGAAGTACGTTGTATAAACTGTTCCCATCTCAGCACACTGTCTTAGCCACTTCCGTACCGGGCCGTCTAACTCAGAACTTCCTTCCGTAAAACGCCTCTCCCTAACGTTTCTAATATGCACTCCACCTTCCATGTGTTCCTCAATCCTAATTTTTTGAGTCAGAGGGCCTGCATGGAATTCTAGCCAAGGAGCTTGGAGATTTTCTGTCGTTCAGCACACAGAACTCGCCACTACTCGCCGAGCTCTAAGAAGTGAGACCTGAGAGTTACATCACCACTTCCAGAATCCACTCCGAATCTTGTCTCAGTGTAGCTTCAGCCCCCTGTCCAGGTGTGATACTTAGCCACAAGGAAAGAAGGAAGGGAGGGGAAGGGAGGGACTTCCTCAAATTCATTTCCAAAAGGAAATACATCCACTGCTCATATAGACCCCATGGGAATACTATAACCGCACCTTGAACACACGGGGTCTTGGGTTTCCTTTATTCTAACCTATAAGGGGTAGTGCTGTGACGGAGACGTCCTGCACGTTCCTGCTGAGAGCTCAAACACTCGCTGCCACCACCACGTACAGCGACCTTTTTCATTTGCACTTTACCAAGCACGCAACAGCAGGGCCCCCAAATCACTGTTTCAGGTTGCTTACGGACTTACCGGCTCTGTGAGCGGGGAGACAGGAGGTGATGTTGGCGCTGGGGCTGTTGCAGCTTTAGGCGTTGTGAGGGGAAGTGCGTTCGGCTGCGAAATGACCTGACTGGGAATCCTCACCCAGTAGATTTTGTACTTCTCAACTACCGTGGCTCTGAAATGGAATCACAGTGAGACTGCACAAAACCCTGACTGAGGCCCATCACGGAATCAAACTGTTAAAAGAAAAGAAGGTGGATGCTTGCGCTGTGGTGTCAGGGGACAGTGAAGCTCACACCTAGGTGGCACTGTTACGCTGGGAAAAGTCAGGATTACTGCCCTTGCTCCCTACCTGCTTTCTGCTGGAAGGGCCTTGCAGATCAACTGCGACTCTAAATCCAGCACCACTGTCAGTAGCCCTCTTCCCAGAAAACTGAGACATGTCCGGACAGTGATATTTCCTTGAAATGTATGCCCACAACACCACTCAGGAATCATTACAAAGCTTCATGGCAGGGTCTTGCTTGGCAGATCAGGCCGGCCTTGAACTCACTTTGTAGCCCAGGCTGGCCTCGAACTTGCAACCATCCTCCTGCCTCAGCCTCCCGAGTGCTAGGATTACAAGCATGCATCACCACGCCTGACCTATTCATATTTTCATATTAAAGGAACCACTATTTTAAAAAGTATTACTCCATACACCATACAGACTTGAGTATCAACTGTGGTTTTGTGAGTTTTTGGGTAATTAATATTTCACTCACTCAGCAAATGCCTATTAAGTTCCTGTTAGGTACCAAGTGCTAGGCTAGGTGCTGACTGTCTTGTTGTGGAACGAGCAACCACAAACGCAAAACAGGGGCTGGGGATTTAGCTCAGCGGCAAAGCGCCTGCCTGGCAAGCGCAAGGTTGTGAGTTCGATTCCTGGTACAGGAAGAAAAATGAAAAAATAAAATAAAAATGCAAAACAAACTCACACGTCAGTAAGCTGGTGCCATTTCTAAGCCAAAAGTCTCCTAGACAGATCAAAGTCCAACAGCGTGTGAAATGGCACACACCGTGATAGCTGCGATTATATTAGTAACGGAGATGCAAACCTTTCTTCTACTTACAGAAACCTCACGTGACTTGGGGCGCTGCTTGGAGCCTTCCAATAAACTTTAATTTCTGATTTTTTGGATGCACTCGTATGACTCACAGCGGAGCCCTGAAATAAAATGGAAAAGAGCTACCATTCATTCAATCAACAGCCCAGCAAAGCTGGGATTGCTATCACTTTGCAAAATAAGACAGGCTGCATGGCCGTGCCTTCTGATAAAGACCATTTTATCTAATACAAGAACTCAGATATCAGTCAATCCGTGTGGTTTGGTGACAACATATCAGCAGTTCACTCTGAATACATTAGAGACGTTAGGAATTTAAGAACTGAGGGCGGTCACGAACACTGAATGTGTTAATACTGTCAGAGGCAGCTCTTTACTTCACTTACACTATGGATTTATATTTCTTCCATTAATAGACACAAACACAACACAGATGATTCCTCAAAAGAAAAAAGAGAAGCTTCCTGCTTCCCAATAGGCAGCGTGTTTTTCTAAGTCCTTTCTTTTGAGCAGTTTCTTTCACCTGGAAAACTCCTACACAGTCTTCAAAGCCTAGACTAGAGATAGTCCCCAAGAAGCTCTCAGTCCCCTCCCTGTGTGCATGGCTCCTTCTGCGGCAATTCCCGTGTGCTTGTGTGCACACTAACTGATCCACCACCCTCCTTGTGTCCCGGTCCACAAGTTCTACTTTCATGCCGCACATGCTATGCACACAGCGATATGGAAGGGTATGGGTCCTTCAGAAAAAAAGAGTAAGTCTTGTTCTCAGCATCTCCCCTGTTCCCAGTAAAATAAAAGTGTATTAAATGAATAAACAACAAAAATTAGGCCTCTGTCCCACTCTACAACTCTATTTTCAATATTGAAACCCTTCAAAAATCAATAGAATAAGAGTTAAGCTGATCTAAAATATCGCAGACTATAAACTCTTCAGGCCTATGCTCTACCTTTCCTAGAATGCTGATGTGAAAATAATTTTTAAGTAAATTAAAGGAAAAGAACAGCCACCATGGATCTGTTTAAATGTCTGTGGTGCCTGGGTAGTGGTTCTGTAACAACTACCACACCTCCACTTTCACAGTGAAAAAAAACCAAGGAAGCTGATAGGAATGACTCACAAGCTGAAGACAAACCTGCACATCCCCGCAAGTCAGAAGCTGTGACACCTGACTGTCGTTCAACAGGAAGGAGCCGACAGGAGGGCCATCCACACGCTCAGCATCACGAGCTTCTAAAAGAAAGCCTCTAAAAGGCCGTCCTGACAAAGTCACTATGAAACAGACAAAAAGACAAGTTAATAGATGTAGGAAGACCCCAAAGAGAAATGTTTACAGGAGGTACGCCACAGAGAGAATCGGGTAGAGGTGTGCAAAACTACCCTTGGAGAGAAAGGAGTAGAAATCATTCTACAGAAAAAGAACGTCTAACTGGTGCCCCACAGGACATTCATTCTAGCTGTTAATACCTATCCCAAGGGGAAAAAACACGGGTGACAGCCAGTGGGCATCTGTAGGGCTAAAGTAGTTTGGAAAATGCTAGATGAAAGTCTTTTTTTTTTTTTTTTTTTTTTTGGTCTTTTTGAGACAGGGTCTTGCGATGCAGCTCAGGCTGACCTTGAGCTCACTGTGTATCCCAGGCTGGTCTGAAACTCGCAACGATCCTCCTGCCTCAGCCTCCCGAGTGCTGGGATTACAGGTGAGCACCACCACGCCCGGCTAGATGAAAGTAAATACCTGTTCCTTTACTGCAAATCCCCTGGCGTCTTTAATATTCTACCGTGCAATGTGAAACTAAGAGACACATTATATATAACATACAGGGTGCTCTAAACGTCTTTCTCCGTATGCTTTTTTTTGTTAAAGAATACTTATTAATGTTTTGCACTTCTAGAATTGCAGAAAAATAGAGTTTGCAAACTGATATTAAGATACATTTTTTTCATTTTCGTAGTACTACAGGTCAAACCCAAGGGTGCTCTACCACTGAGCTACCACTCCAGGCCACTTTTTGTTTGTTTATTTTGAGACAGGTTCTTGTTAAATTACCCAGGTAGGGTTTGAACTTGAGAGCCTCCTGCCTCAGCTTCCCAAAACACTGAGGTTACAGGCATGTGTCCCTGCACCTGCCTGTAATAATCATTTTTAACAGTTTGCTTACATTTTGCCAAAAGAATTAGGGAGATACTACTTCAAGAAAGTCAAGGGTTCGTTATCTTTTAAACAAGACAAAATAAGTTTATTTTCTCTTCTAAGTTAATAGTACTACTAATAAATATATATTACATAATGATAAAATATATTCTAAAATCTATTCTGCATGGGGAGTAGATATACTACACAAGTAATATGGTCATCTTTTTGTAGTAAACAAAAGTGAGAAACATAAGATTATGGTATCTTACAAAAACGAGTACATAAAAAAATAAATAAATAAATAAAATGAAACAAGTACCTAGGTTAAAATGAAACAATCCAAATCCAATAATAAAAATGCAACAAACTGTAAAAGTATGGAACCCCAAATGGAAATAATTTTTCCCAGCACAGCACCTTCAATCTGATCTCCCGGCCTGAACGTTGTCTGACTGACGGCCACGCGGTGGGTCGGGTCCGGCTGCGGGCGGTGCCCGTGATCAGGGGTCATTCGATGGCACGACTTCGTTACTTTTCCATTGGGGTAACTGGCCACCGAGCCAACGTGCAGCAGAAATACAAGGGCACCAAGAGCACACCCTGGCACTGCCATCTCGAAAAGAAGGTTAAAAGCGTATCATTGTCAGATCCAATTAAAATAAAATATAGCAGCTTTCACAACAGGACAGTCATTCCGGGTGGCTACTTGCTTCCAACGCTCAGTTATCCATATGCCCAAAACATGTAATGAAAAGAAGGTGGTGTGTGAAGCCTGACCTGGATTCGAATCTCAGCTCTACCGAGTACCAACTGTGAGGCTTCAGACAGATCACTTAAGCCTCCACTTCCTTCCCTGAAAATCTCGGAGAGGAAACTTAGACCCTTCTTTCAAAGTTTTTTTTAATAAAACAAAGACACAGCCCCAGAGTCTGACAAGAAAGATAATAAAAGATAGCTTTCATTAGTATGATGGGGAAATAATAAACTACCCAGTACAAACATTTTGGCAGGGTGTGTGACAGTGCAGTACTGGTTGTGAGGTCTGCAGACCCCAGGCCACAGTCCCGTGAACCTCCCGCCCCGTTCTCAGGGCTCAGACCTGACCTAGAGCTACACACGGCCTCCCTCCGTTCTCAGGCCTTAGAACTCAGGTTTCTTTTTTTTTTTTTGTCTTTTTGAGACATGGTCTTGCTATGCAGTTCAGGTTGGCTGTGAGCTCACTTTGTAGCCCAGGCTGGCCTTGAACTCACAAACAATCCCCCTGCCTCAGCCTCCTGAGTGCCAGGATTACAGGCGTGCGCCACCACGCCCAGCTAGAACTCAGATTTCATTTCACCTCCAACGTTCCTGCTTCTACAGCTTGGAGAGAGCAAATCATGGGGCTTCTCAGCTTCCATAAGCACATGAAGCAACGCTATAAGAAAATATATATATAATAAGGATGAATCCTATGTGGTTCTGTTACTCTGAATTACCCTGATATCATATGTCCCTTCCTTTCTCTTTTCTTACTTTTTTAATGAACACATATTAATTGCACACACTGATAGGACCCACTGTGCTATTCCCATATACGCACACAGTGTGCACCCATCACATTTACCCACCCCTCCCCCTCAGCACCTCCTTGCCTCCCCTGCTGGCACCTCTCCCAGTACCTAGTAATCACCCTCAGCTTCTTTATTTATCTTTTTGAGACGGGGTCTCCCTGTGCAGTCCAGGCTGGCCTTGAGCTCACTTTGTAGCCCAGGCTGATCTCAAACTCGCAACGATCCTCCTGCCTCAGCTTCCTAAGTGCTGAGATTACAGACATGTGCCACCACACCTGGCACCATTCAATTTTCAAGTGGCCTCTTTTAGTTTTACTTTTTAAGTTTTCACATGTGCAAGAGAACGTGCAATACTTGCCTTTCCTGTCCGGCTTATTTCATTTAATGTGACGTCCTCCAGCTCCATCACTTTACTAAAATGGCAGGATTTCACCCCTTTATAACCGAGTAATACTGTTTTGTTTATGTGCAGCACCATATTTTCTTTATCCATTATCAGCTGTATGGCTACCATGATCTTAGCGATTGTCCAGTGTCTCAATAAACACGGACATGTAGGTATGTCTTTCATATGACGACTTCACTTCCTCTGGATATATACCCAGGAGTAGAATAGCTGAATCAAATTCTGTTTCTATTCCCACTGACAGAGTATGAGTATTTTTTTCTCTATGTTATTGCCAGCATTTTCTGCTTTGTTTTATTGTTGGCTTTATATTTTTTAAAATAGCCATTTTAATTGGAATAAGATGGTAAACACTATAATTTTGATTTGTATCCGCCCTGCTAGCTAATGATAGTCTCAAACATTATTTCATAATTATTAGCTATTTGTAGTTCTTTATAAAATGGCTGTTTAGATCATGTGCCCCCCCCCCTGCCTTTTTTGGGAGGTACCATGAGGTGAACTCAGGACCTTGCTTGCCAGGCAGGCGCTGTGCCAGTGAGCTATAGCCCTGGCCCCATGTCTCCCTTTTTTAACTGACTTAACTCAGTTTTTGCTGTTGTTGTTTTCTTTATATATTATGGATATTAACCATGCATCATTAATCAACATTCTGGCTCAGGGATATAGCTCAGTGGCATAAGCACCTGTCTGGCAAGCTCAAGGTCCTGTGTTTGACTCCCAGCACCCAAAAAAAGCTTAATCATAAGAGCACTTCACAATTAATCAATATTCTGTCAACACTAATCAAAAGAAAGGAGGAGTAGCTATGTGAATTCCAACAGAGCAGACTTTAAACTAGGGAAGGCTGTCAGGGATAAACAGAGCTGTACATAATTATGAGGGCAGTCCTCCAAGAAGACGTGAAATGATGCACCTAACAACACAGCATAAAATATATCGAGCAAAAGCTAACAGAAATACAAGTAAAAAGAGATGATCCACTGTGACAGTCGGAGGGTTCAATACCCTCCTGTTGGAAATAGACAGACTCAGGAGGCAGAAAGTCTGTGAGGACAAAGACGACTTCAACAACTATCAGGCAACAGGATATAGTGAACGTCTGTAGACTGCTTCACTCAATAATCTGAAGAACACATATTCCGTGCCACCTCACATGGAACTGTCACCAAGATAGACCGTGTTCTCGGCCATAGAACACACCCTCACGAGTTCTTAAAAACAGACATCAACATCTGCTCTTAGATCCCAGTGGAACTAATAAGGGAAGCCACTAACAAGAACCCACCTGGAAAATCCTAAACTGCTAGAGATTAAACAACACACTTCTACACAGCACACAAGGCATAGAAATGTCAAGAAAAGTGAAAAGCACTTTGACAGAAAGGGAGATGAAAATAGAGCTTATTACAACTTGGGGGCTGCAGCAAAAGCAGAACTGCACAGCATTGTTTACACAATTCTGTAAACAAATCCCACAGCGGATCACAGCTGAACTACAGGAATTCCTGCTCAGCTCCAAAAATTATGCTGGGGGACGCACACTTTAACAAGCCTTGCTCTTTGATTACGAGCCACCAATAAACATCTCAGAGGGGCTGGGGATTTAGCTCAGCGGCACAGCGCCTGCCTGGGAAGCACAAGGTCATAAGTTCAATCCTTGGTACTGAAAAAAATAAATAACTAAATAAATAAATAAATAAATGCAGTGACGTGCCACTCACCTAGAGAACGGTATATTGCAAAGAATGAGTCGAGGTCAGCAAATACACATTTGGCACTGACTTCCTGGATGGTAAAGGTGGAAACTAGACTTGACGTCTGATCTCTGCTGTGCACCAAATAGCTGAATAACATGAACCAAGTCATTTAATTTCTCTGAGTCTGTTTCATCATTTGAAAGACATAGCAAGTAACTCAGCAGAAATTCCAGGCCACCTTCAACTCTAAAATGCTTTGACTTTAGAAAAGCTAATGGGGAAAGCCCATCAAGAGTAATGTGAAGAGGAACCATAGACAGGAGGGGGATGTGACTCAGATAACACCTGTCACTCCTTAATAAATGCAACAAACAAGGACAGAAAGGAAGCAATGTCAACCTCTTTTTTTTTTTTTTTTTTTTTTTTGAGAGGGTCCCCCCGGGAAGTCTCGGCTGGCCTCAAACTCACAGCGATCCTTCTGCTTCAGCCTCCCAAGTGCCAGGATTACAGGTGTGTGCCACCAGCCTAGCCCAATGTCAACCTCTTTGTCCTTCGTCAAAAGTTGACTGCTCAAGATAAAGCTGTACTTTCTTTGCAACTGCTAGTGTTGGTTTTCCAATGAATGATTTAAGGAACAACTTTTTAAATTCTTTAGCCAACCTACATCAACAAGTAACAATTTTTTTTTTTTTTTGTCTTTTTGAGACAGGGTCTCACTATGCAGTTCAGGCTTGTCTTGAGCTCGCTTTGTAGCCCAGGCTGGTCTCGAACTCACAACGATCCTCCTGCCTCAGCCTCCCAAGGGGTGGGATTACAGGGGTGCACCACCACGCCCGGCAACAAGTCACAATTATGATAGGAAGGCAAATAGGAGTTATTCATGGAAACCTTTAAGCTAAAATTACAGAATGTTGATAATTAGCTATTCTACTATGAGCTTATATTTCAAGCATAGGAAAAACTCCTAGCAATTACATATAATTTTTGAAATTGTTACTATTCATCCTATTATGTATATTATAGAAAGGATCAAACTAAGGAAACCACAGCTTGCATTTTGTCAGTCCACGACAAGGGCAGATCCATAGTTCAAAAGACTGAGAGGTTACCTTGATTCTCTAACTGAAATATTCAAAAAGCTAATGAGATGTTAGTTTTATAGTTTTCTTTTTTGTCTGAAAGACTGGCACTTAGTAAAAGTGATTGCTCATGTATAGCTCTATTTATTTTCTTTAGAAGCCACTTTGAAGATACCTAAGTATAGTACAACAACTATTGATAATCTCCTACCTCTTTTGTCAGTAACTCACTATTGTCTATTTGTTTTCCTGAGAAACTATCTTATAGATAACAATATGTAAAACAACAACCACTGATAATTTCCTACCACTTTGTCTGTAATTTGGTAAGCCCCCCATTATTATGTTATCCTTCTTTTACTCTTTAAAATAAAAAAAGATAAATAAATAAATAAATAAAAGTAATTGCTTACACCATGCTCCATATATATCTCATGTAAGGATCAGACCTCAGATAAGTGCATTTTTATTATGTAAATGTAAGTGTATTGTTCTTACATGAAAATTAATTGTTACTGTAATTAATTATTTATTATTTATTAATTAATATTAATTTGAAAATATTAATTAATTATTATTACCTAGATCACACAGTGACATTAATAAGGAAAATACATTTATTACAACAAGTGAAATTCAAATAAAATGAGACTGAAAGATATCTAGATGTAAGAAAGTCATCTAAAAGATGACTTTATGTGTTAAATAAAATTTTTAAATATTTTTAATTGGTTGGGCATGAACTGCCTTTTCACTGTGTGACACCAAGAACATATTGAATAAGAAAAAACAAGGGGAACATTTATGTTAAAACCATGTCAGGGCCAGGCATGGTAGAACATGCTTGTAATCCCAGCACTGGGGAGGCTGAGACAGGA